ATGCAATAATAAAAACAATGTAACGTGCAGTGTAACAAACAAAGCGGGACGTTAATAATAGCATAATGCCGACGATGCGATGCCTCCTGATGCCACGCTCCCGGTATTTGTCATCGCGATTAAAACCGCGGATACATTATTTCGCACCGCATCAACAAGGCGCGGGCAAGACGCGTTCGGATCTCCCCTGCGCGCTGATACGACTCGCGATGTCACGTCGTGTGTGTGTGTTTCGCGTTGCACGTACTTGTGCGCGCACACATTACACGCGCAAACATCAGCCCCCCCCCCCACCCCGTTTGTTGTGGATTAAAACGTAAACGAACGTGGCCGGTATTTACGCTTTAAACCCCGCTGAGAATGGATAGGCGACCTTGGGTTCGCTCAGAAAGCTCTCGCCTCGCAAAGTCTCACCACGATGACACTTTTAAAATAATCGCTGCCACCAATGAAGGTGCGCTGCATTTATTTCGAGAATAAGCACCGCTTAAGGGCATGATAAATAACGACGAACAATGATTGAATGAATGGAATGGAATGACGGAGAAGATCGGGCACTGGAGTGGAGACTATCAATAACACATTTATATAAACCAACAAAGGGACTATATTGGCACGCGTTCGTGGAATTGTGAGCACCGAGCGTCGAAGTAACCCGGAGTTGTTTCAAATAGCCGAGCGCACTACACATATGTGTATTGGCGTTCGCGGATTTAACGAGCGATCGCCCCCGCTGGAAGTGTCGCGTTCACGGGCCAGTCGGTCGCATCGGTGCCCGTGTGCATTTGAACACCACCGACTCGTGGCAGCGCAAAACGTGCGCTCAACGTCACACCGAGCACCCCATTGCGCATCGTTTACACGATCTACGCTCGTCTCTCGTGTTGCGAGTCTTAACGACCGGGCCGCAATGAAAACTCCCCCGAGACGCGAAATGCCCTGTGTCGAGTTATTCTCTCGAAGCGCTTCATCATGTTCTGGTCGAGTCGAGCACGGCACTTGCGATGTGGATTTTTTTTTTAAAGCAAGGTTCGGTAGTCTCTGACGGGAATTCTCATCGTGACAGAACTTGGGTGGAAGCAACGACACGGGGAGGAGACCCCCAGATCGGACGTGCCAATGCCCGCCCATGATTATTATTATTATTGGTGTTGTTGTACACGCTGCGATGCTGAGCATGCGGAGGACGTTAAAACGTTTCGCCGCGTGGTCGACGAACGATCAATTGGGGTAGCCGCCGCGTTCCGTCGTCTTTCCTGCGCGCTCGTAGTTTCTCGCGAAACACGTGCGGAGTGTGTGGGAACGAGAAGCGCGCACCGAGCGGCAATCAACGGGGGGGGGAGGCGGTGGCGAGAGAGACTCCGGGAAGCGCGCACGACTCATCACAAACAATGGGGCAATTTGCTGGAGTCGCGACGCACAAAGGGACACTGTCGTGGCGCGTCGTGCGGCGTGGGCAGCCGCCCCCACAAACAACTCGCTCCTACCACTCACTGCGAGCTGCTCCGACTGGGCGCGATGCCACCTACGGGAGGAGAGGGTGGGGAGGGTTGAGGCGGGGGGGGGGGGGAGTTGAGACGGCCGACGTTTGGGTAACGTTGTGCGCAGTAACGTTGATCGGGCATTGTGATGTTGGAGGTGGTTTTGTCGGTATAGCGAACGAAAGCGCCTCCATATTAGCACGCTTGGCTACGTGCGGTGCGAAAGAAGTTCAACAGACAGACATACATACGAACGACGACGATGAATTCGAAGCAATTTGTGCCGATGCAGACTTGGGTTGACATGAAAATGTGCACGCCATGTGTATGTGTGTGTTACGTGTTGCGCGCGCGGTTCTGCAGTGTTATACTGTTGTACACACAACAGTATAACACCGTGTGTGTGTACTTGTGATCACACTGCAACTGAGCGACGATAAAGTTTTGGGTTCGTCTTGAACGTGCAATACTGGCGTCATCCGACGGACATCGAGATAACTTATCTAAATGTTGCATGTTGTATGTGTGTGTGTATATATATACGTGAAGTGCTTATACACGTATACGTCTGCCTGTATAAACAACGGGAGATAAAGGATGAACGGTCTCAACAAGATGCAATTTTGCCACTCTGCTGGTAGGATAACTCCGTGAACAAACGTGGTAGCCTGCTTCGGGCGTGTCACATAACCCTGTTCGTCTCGTTACACCAAGCGGCCCCGTGATATGTTTGAGTGGTGAGAAGCAACACTCTGTTCGGAGTGTTTAAAATAAAAAAATAAGGCACATACATACACACTTGCATACATACATACATGTACAAAATAAGACAAAGATTCATCGTAAAGCTTTAACGGGCTTTTGGGGCAAGCGCCGCTCGCGAGCACCTATTAAAGCCGGCACGGTACACGAGGGGAGCGGGTGGCCAACACCACGCCCGGCCGATGTTTACACCCTCGCCACATGTACTCATTTGAGGCCGACCGCGAACGGGAATCGAACTCGGGGTTCTGTGCGCAGCGCGCTAACCGCTACGTTACCGCTCCCCGCAATGTCCATACACACCGCACGCACGCGCGCGGTGAGTTCTACGACTCAAACATAATAAGCTCTTTCAACGGAGGCGCATCGTGTTTTGTTACAGCCACGCTCGGCTCGTTAAAGCGAGTTCTAGAGGAATGGATACTCGCCTATGATGGGGACGCTTCTCCCACGGGAGGACTCCACCAAGTGCTGGATGATGCACTCACCACAACGCACAGCGGTGCTCACCGAGGGCCGCGTTGTATTCTGTGCGAGCTGAGTTCACGGAGCCCCCCCCCCTCCCCCCCCCCGCTGTTTCGCACTCTCCACGTGTGCACGCAAACCCTCGCCGCCGCCGCTGCTGTTGACAAAGGCTGTGTGCCGTATGAACATCAAAACTCGCGAGCGCCGCAACTTAGCGGGATTCACTCCGCGCCGCTCTCACGAAGCGCCTGTGTCACTTGTTGTATAGTTTTTGGGGTTGGTGGTGGTGGTTGGTGGTGGTGGTGGTTGGTGGTGGTGGTGGTTGGTGGTGGTTGGTGGTGGTGGTGGTGGTGGTTTCATACAGGGAGCGGCAGTGTAGCGGTTTGCGTGCTGCGCTACGAACCCGGCGACCCGGGTTCGATTCTCGCTCACGCTCAACACCGGTGACGATTATTTGAACCGGTCCTGGGCTTCCCCTCGGTCGACTCAGCCTCAAATGAGTACCTGGTGCGACGCGTAAACATCGTTACTTGGGAGACAAAGGCGGACGGGCGTGGCACTGGCCACCCGCCCACCCTCTCGTGTACCGTGCTGGCATTCATAGATGCTCACGAACAGCTCTTGCCCCAATAGTCTGTTTAAGGCTATATGGGGGGTCTTTATGTTTGGTTTCACACAGGAGCGCGCCGCCGCGTTTTTGTGATAAATTTCCAAGTACAATAAGCAAAAACTCAAGATTCATCAACAACTTTGTGGCCTTAACGGTGAAAATATATGTACAATAGGCGATGTTTCGGGCAATAGGTCATTCTTTACAGCACATGAGTACAATTACGCTACGTTATGCGTTGTTTCTCAACGCAAAACCAGCAGAGGCAAAATATTAAACAAACGACTCCCCGAGCTGTGGATATCATAAAGATAGATAGCACTGTTGGCCTGCATATCATCACACACACATGCACTTGTGTTTTCTTTTCAAATTAGCTAGCACGGCTAACCATACATTTTCAGCGCCGCGTTTTTTTCCTGCGTAAAGCGAACCGCTGGGCTCTCTTAAAAAGGGGGTGCGTGGGGGGCGTTGTGGAGGGGGGGGGGCTCTGAGTTTGTCAGCACAGTGTTAAGCAGTGGAGCAGCGATCGCGAAACACGGGGGCGAAATGAACGTCCCATCCGTCTCCTCTCAGCAGCTCCCGCAACCCCACGCTCCGCTCAGCGCGCACAGGACGGCGGCCACGCAAGTTTCACCCCCCCCCCCCCCCCCCACTGTCCCGTGCCGTCCACCGCTCGCTGAATGACAACTCAACACGACTGCAGCCGACACGGGGCGCATCTCCCTCTCTCTCTCGTATCTCTCTCATCTCTCTCTCTCTCTCGTATCTTTCTAATCTCTCGCTCAACGCGCGCAACGTCGCAGCGACGAGTTGAGTTGACCGCTCCACGGTGTTGTCACACACACACACACGCGCGCGCGCAACTCCGGTAAGATTACGAACGGGCAAACCTCGCAGCGAAGGTGCGTTCGGTGAGTCTTGCACGCGTTTCCGATTGAACTTTTTGTTGTTGCTGTCGCGTTATCTTGTTGGCGATTGCGCGCACACCGCGGGAGTGTTGGACAACACAACACACACACAGACGCGCGTCGCGCCACGATGTGGTGTGACGGCGTTTGTAGGGGTGACCTCTAGCGAGACGGGGCAGGCGCGGCGCGGCGCGTCGCTCGCTCAGCGGCCCGGGGAGGCGCGGCGAATTCGGGTCCCGTTATCCCCGGGACCGGCAGCGGTAAGTAACGGGCCCGGCAGCAACAGCGCCATCATCACCGTCATCATCATCGTCGCCGCCGCCGCGCCGCCACCGTCTCACCCGGTAAAGTGACGTTCACGCAATGAAACTACGACGATGAAGACGATGTTGAAGATCGTGATGACTACCGCAATCATCGTCGTCAGTTCGCGGCATCCCCGAATGACAAAGTCGGAGCGGCAACTTTTTTTTTTGTTCGGTTTTACGCGCAGACACAGGGCGCGCGCGTGCCCGAGTGCAAACTTTGCGACTTCAAACACAGTAGATCTACTACTAACTCCTGCTTCTCCTACAACTTGAGCAACACAAGACCCGCAGCACCATCATCACCCACCACCACCACCACCAAGCAACAACACCCACGCCAGCAGCTAAACAAATAAAAACAAACCCCGTCCGCGGGCGGAGCGGTGAGTGCCCGCGCGGTGGACAGAGTCGCAAAAAACGAGCCGGCCGCGGGAGCGACGCCACCACCACCACCACCACTCACCGTTCTTACGCCGTGGGTTCGCCTGCTTTCGCCGCTTACACCTGGGGCCATCCGCCATGCTCCGCTCCGGCTTCATGTTTGAGGCGTGGGGAGGGATCAGCGCGAGAGCCGGACGCGGGCTCCCTCGCCCCCCTCGCTGCTCCCTCTCGCTCGCTCGGCCCACTCGCCCGCCCTGCTCGCGTTTTCGCCACCTCCCGACACCTATTATTATTATTATCGAGTACGTGGCCGCGCACGCCTGGAGACCTTTTTTTTTGTTGCGCACTCACGCACACAACGTGGCCAGACCCACGCACGCACGCACGCGGTTACACACACGCGCGCGCGCACACAGACGCACTCACGCACACACACACACACCCACACACAGGCCGGGCAGACACTCACACACATGGACTTAATACTCGCGCGCACTGCGCTGCTGACATGCAACCACACACACACTCATCACGCCGCTGGGCTCGGCGTTAGCTCTGTCTTTTTTTTTTTAAACTTCGCCACGAGTGCCGTTATCGCAGCGTTATGCGCGGCGGCTCCCGATCTGAGTAGACGCACAAACGCACGCTGGCAACAGGTATAGGAGGATATACTCGAGTGATGTGTGGAGTCTTGTTTTTGTTTTAAATGTTTTCCTTGCGTCGCTCGTTCCACCGCAGCGACACGCGAGTTGCTTAAACGATACTTTACGTTTTCAGACTACTACGGGTGCGATGCGCATGGGAGTGGTGGCGCGGTGGTTAGCGCACCGCCGCGCTGCTATCTCTCATTCATCGAGCTTACATCGCTGGCCATACGACACCCACTGTTGTCCGCATACAACACGAGCCTCCCCTAGGTCGACTAAGCCCGAAATTGTGTGCAGACAATATGCGCGGTTGAGAGACGAGGATGCTGGGATAGTTGTATTGTTTAGACCAGGGGGTCGGCAGCTGAAATAACAAGTGGAGAGACGACATTTTTTTTGTTTAGAATTCGGTGAAACAAACTCAGTCCTTAAAGAGCCGCATGCTACTCTGGAGGCGCAGGTTGCCGCCCAATGGTTTAGGACTTGGGTGCCTTGCTAGGTGCTCGCTAACGAGACTTTTCACAGTTACGCTATGGTCGCTTCGCGTTCGTTGAGCCTCTTATCTAAAAAATGGGGTCAACTCCGGAGCTATCTGCGCTTGCTATCGCAAGTGCGTGGCCAACTTGTATTGAACTGCACGCACGCGTCAATTAATAGGCGCTTTGCATTGAGCCCTCTTTTAATTAACTCACGCTCCTTTCTTCTGGATCTTTTTTTTTTACGGCCCGCCATCTCGTGACGCGGCTTTTTAAGCCATCGATAAACAAGAGTAAATGGAAGCAATACGGGTGCAATGACGACATCAGATAGTAGAGCTCGATGTCTTTGTCGATGTAATCACAGTCTCCCCCCCCCCAAAAAAAAAAACGAGCGGTTCCAACGTGCGCGTCTCGTCTTAATGGAGGTGCGTTCACCGTTACTGAAAAAAAACGGCTTCGATATATCATCGAGCCGCACGCGACCGTTGCAGTCAATGCGCGCGCGCGCACGCACGGACGGTGCATATTGCACGTCCGTGTGGTTCTTCTCAACAAGCCGTATCGGCCTCACGTGAGAACCCCTGTCTAGGGGGGCAGCGTAGGTCTTGCGGCAGGTAGCGCATGGTAGGGGGGCACGTGGTTTCTACATCTCTGGGCTTCGAAACGCCGCGTGCAGTGCGCACAGCGTGGCTGGCATGGTGGGTCTTGCTGTTAGAGGTGCAAGTCACTGACGGTGTCGTGGGTTTTGGGACACCCCCGATTTTGTCTAGATATGGTTCGGAGACGTACACAACATTTCTGCTCCCCTTCCCTTGGTGCATTGGTACATTGGTGCATCCAATGCACCAAGGGGGCGTTACGATGACGAAATGTTAACTACCTCGCTTGGTATACAGGAGATCATAGGTTCAATCCCGACCATGACCCCTGTATATCTGGAGTTTGCATGTCTCTCTCTTTCTCCTCGTGGTCGCCTGGATTTTTCTCCGGGTCCTCCGGTTTTTCCCTCCAAAGTTAGAAACACGCATTTAGAGTAATTTGGCCACGGTAAAGGTCCACACGATGAGCCACTTCGTTGAGCTATCATTTGTGGCGAGGTCGCTTTCTAAAGAGAGCTATGTGGCTTCGTGGGCCTTGCCTGGTTAAACATTTATTCTGTTTTAATTTAAGAAATGGGGGGGGGGGGGCTCCTGTCTGCCTCACCCCCGTTCTTCGCAGCCCGGCCTAAAGGGCCCCATCCAACCAGTGGGCCCCTGTGCACTTGCACCGTCACCTGCACACCCGACGACATCTAACGCCGCCAGGGCACACAGGCTCACGGATAAAGACCTGTGTGATGTGCAATGCGCGATGTCTGCGGAGGTGGGTAGCGGAACGCTGAGTCGATGCGCCACCATTGGCTAAACGAGGAGGCCCTCGAAACGTTCAGAAACGATGAAAAAACCACCCAGATGTGGCCGACACGGCATTAGGCGAGTTATGGGGTTCTACCGCACCGATGACTCCCATTCAGCGCGAAGTGGAGACCGTTGAAGAAGCCTCTTGTTAATGTTTTCGGGAATACCGCTCAGGGCTGCGACGCACACATACACGCCCTCTTTTGGCTCGTGTGGTATTGTGTTTGTGTGTGGGGTCGTGTTGTTGTTGCTGTTGGGTTTTCATCATCACGCGCGACCGAAACTATCTTTCATCTCGGTGCGCATCACGGAACGCAAGCGCAATACGTGTACGTACAATCGAGGAGTCCTCAATCTCGCGTTGTTTCGGTAACGAGTAGAGAAAGGGAGAGGTGGGGAGGGGGAGTGCGCCGTCGTGCGCCCACCACGCGGATCCCGGTGCTTCACGCGACGCGCGGTGCCCGTTTCGTTTCGTCCCTCGAACTCTGCCGCGCACCGCAACGATCCAACGTTCTCTCCCGTTCGCCGCTTAAGCGCCCCTCGCGATGAAGGCTCCAGCGTCGTCCTCGTTGTGTTTTCCTTCTCCTTGTCCGCACGTCAGGGCAAACACCTCCGCCACGTCCACACAGTGACAGTACTGTAGTTCCAATTGCTCCAGAAAGCAGTAGTAATAATGATGCCCTTCCCTCTCTCAACGTCGCGTCCCATCTGTGATGTGACTGACGGTTGCTGCTTCAACCCCATGCCACTGTTGCCGGCTTACGGACCTCTCGTGTTATTATCAGCGCTTTGCACGTACGCAGATTACAACGGAGCTTTCATTTCAGAGCCACATGTCTCGCTGTCGCTCGTGATTGATTTGCAGCTGCAGCAACCTTCCACTCCGGGGTTTGTTTACATCTTCACTTAATCTCAATAGGCCTGCAATACGTTTGCATCTGCCGGTTGGCTTCACGCGTATCTTTCTGATAGTTCAATTGCCCGGCCAGGTCTCTGCGAAACATCTCGGGCGGGACTGCCCCTGTATTTTTGACGCTGCTTTATATGAGTCCCAAATTGTGTTCGCATTCGTATGAGTTCAGCTACCGTGCCACTTCTCCCACATCCTGCTTGGGCCAACCAGCACCCGCCGACGTGGTGAAGTATGGTCAAACAGCGCCCCGTTACTGACGCGGCGTGGGGGCGGCCTTCATCCAGCAGTGGATTAACAAAAGAGCTGCGAATTATTGAAATTCGATGACGCTCCGACCCGTCGATGAGTAACATTCTTGCTTCGCTCATAAGTTCGCGAGTTGAGTGGGTTGCGACATTAATTTTCAACGGAAATCGCATGTAAGTCGTCGATTTCCACCCATCACATCTCGTTGTGTTCTGGTTGACTATATACTGTCTACAGTATTTCTATAATCTATTGTATTCGTGAATTGCTTCGGGCTGTGGCACTGCCCCACCCCCACCTCGATATTTTGAAAGCCCCCTGTACAAATCTTTCAATCCCCACGAGGTATTGAGTCCATCACGAGAGAATCAGTGCAGCAGGTCGGAGGCCCGATGCTGTACACCACTGTGTCTACTCCAGTGCTCTCTTTGGGTTGCACCGTGATTGGCGATACATGTCCTCTGAAAGTGTCCACTGTTACTGTCAACGTGCATAACTACAACGCGATACAATTAAGATGTATGCAGCGCCTAAATGGAACCACATCTCAAGATGATGTACGTGGCAATGGAAGATTATAAGCCTGGACTTTAACAGAGAAACGAGTCAACAACCCGAAATAGAGTGATATGAGAGGGCAGACGTAGGAGAGTGCGTGGAGGGGAGTATAGTGAGATGGGAGGTGGGAGAGTGTGTGGAGGGGAGTGTGTGGAGGGGAGTGGAGTGAGATGAGAGGTAGGAGAGTGCGTGGAGGGGAGTGGAGTGAGATGAGAGGGGAGAGGGAGGAGAGTGTGTGGAGGAGAGTAGAGTGAGATGGGAGGGGAGAGGGAGGAGAGTGCGTGGAGGGGAGTGGAGTGAGATGAGAGGGGAGAGGGAGGAGAGTGCGTGGAGGGGAGTGGAGTGAGATGAGAGGGGAGAGGGAGGAGAGTGCGTGGAGGGGAGTGGAGTGAGATGAGAGGGGAGAGGGAGGAGAGTGCGTGGAGGGGAGTAGAGTGAGATGAGAGGGAGAGGTAGGAGAGTGTGTGGAGGGGAGTAGAGTGAGATGAGAGGGGAGAGGGAGGAGAGTGCGTGGAGGGGAGTGGAGTGAGATGAGAGGGGAGAGGGAGGAGAGTGCGTGGAGGGGAGTGGAGTGAGATGAGAGGGGAGAGGGAGGAGAGTGCGTGGAGGGGAGTAGAGTGAGATGAGAAGGGAGAGGTAGGGGAGTGCGTGGAGGGGAGTAGAGTGAGATGAGAGGTAGGAGAGTGCTTGGAGGGGGGTAGAGTGAGATGAGAGGGGAGAGGTAGGAGAGTGCGTGGAGGGGAGTAGAGTGAGATGAGAGGTAGGAGAGTGCGTGGAGGGGAGTGGAGTGAGATGAGAGGGGAGAGGGAGGAGAGTGCGTGGAGGGGAGTGGAGTGAGATGAGAGGGGAGAGGTAGGGGAGTGCGTGGAGGGGAGTAGAGTGAGATGAGAGGTAGGAGATTGTGTGGAGTAGAGTGAGATGAGAGGGGAGAGGTAGGGGAGTGTGTGGAGGGGAGTAGGGTGAGATGAGAGGTAGGGGAGTGCGTGGAGGGGAGTGGAGTGAGATGAGAGGTAAGAGATTGCGTGGAGGGGAGTAGAGTGAGATGAGAGGGGAGAGGGAGGAGAGTGCGTGGGTGGGAGTAGAGT